CCTGGGACCAGCAGCAGCATCTGTCTTCCCCGGTGTTGGGTGCAGGCTGTGCCCAGGGCTGGTCCCAAGCAGCAGCAGCTGTGGCAGCCTCCTGTCATCCAGCACACATCCAGGGGCCTGGGAGGAGGCCGGAACAGCCCCACAGGCCTCTCAGGGGTACAATCCCCTGAATCTGTGTACTGGATGCTGGAGGCTGCTGCTGCCGGCAGATTTTGCTTTCAAGACTTTGAGGTATAGTTTCTGAGAAACCTCTGCACCTATCTCCTTGAAACTTGGCAGGCTTCATGCCCTCAGAAGGGGCTACCATCCCTGCAATCTGCATGCAAATCAGGCAACAAATGACAAAGTTTTAGGCATTTTCATGATTCCCCCATTATAGCCTATGGGCGAAACGTTGAAATGAGTCGAAACAGCGAAACGGTTTCAACGAAACGAACCAGGACAGTGCTTTGAAATGAAATAAAATGATGAAATGAAACACTACCCCTTCAAAATGGTGAAACAGTCATCGAAATGAAACAATGGTGTTTCGCACAGCCCTAGTGGGTCTCCTTTCCTGGCCAGAGCCCCCTGGGTGTTCTCCACCAGCCTGGGAGCAGGCACAGGGAAGGAAACCCACCCACTGCTGCTTCTGTCCCCAGCCAAGCCCAGCTCCCTGCACAGCTACTCCCTGCAACCCCAGGTAGAACAGGGCAGGAGCAGCTGAGAGAGCAGCAGGGTGGGGCTGGTCTCCCCTTCTTGCAACCAGAGGTGTAAGCAGAGAGGGCAAGGAGGAACAAAGAGTGGAGGGCTGGGAGGAAAGGGAGATTCTTACCTGATTCTGGGACTAAGTCAACTAAGTCCACAGTTGTTACTTGTACAGCATGGTCTGCCTACCCTGGTGGGGTGAGGGGGAAAGGCTGGGAGTGGGGAGTGCAGTCATCCCTGCAGCACTGATTGCTGGTCCCACATCTCCCACTTTTAAAATCCTGGGGTGCCTATACACAAGCAGCAAGGCTGCTCTGATGCACTGTAATTACAGTGCATCAGAGTAGATTCAATTAACTGAGTCTGCTGGAGCATGGTAATTACCACACTTCAGCAAACTCCAGCATCTCGTGGATCAGTGTCCCCACACTGAAAAATGGTGGCGGGGGCGCTTTAAAGCTTATTCGAGAAGCTTTAGTTAAAGTGTGCTATTTTTCAGCATGGGGACACTGATACACGAGATGCTCCATATGTTTTCTTTAGAGTGGCTGTAATTGAAGCACCTCCACCCCCTCTGGAGCACGTGTATAAATGCTGCTGGATCTCCTCATGTCTGAGCTTAAATGTGTTTAGAGATTCGGGAAGGTAATGGGAGAACCTGCTTGGTTAAATGGCTTTAATCAATCACTGATGAATGATTAACAGTAATTTACATTCCGTGTTACCCCTGCATAATTAAATGTGACAGTGGAAAATAGGATTGAAGTGTTCATCTCAGTTGAAAGTGTGACAGACTCATTTAAACTAATCAAAAGTATCAACTCAGTAGATCAAAAACAAAGAAATAATCTGAGATTTGTGGTGTTCCGAATCTTGAAATAAGTGTAAAGCCACTATTACATTCTTAATGACATACTCCTATGTATTTTTCAGGACAGTTGGGGGCAAGCCAGTTTCATGGAGTCAAGAGTCAAAGGTGCAGCTGCTAATGATCTCTTTTTAAAGAATTTTTTTATGGTTACACTATCTTTGTGCTCAAATTAAATAACTGAAAGTGCAGTTAGTACAAAAAATTGACCCAGGGACAGGCTTTTGCCCACACACACAAATGATGATGATAAGATTAAAAAAAACCCAAAAAACCCCCCAAACAAACCATGTGTTTTCATCTAAGAAATGTACAACAGTCTTAGGCACAATCCTCAAGAGATGGAACATCCTTCTCATTTCTCATTAACTCCAGTGGGAGTTAAGGTTACTAAAGATCTAAGTAACTAATTTTTGAGCAACTAAGATGTTTGTAGTCTAACAGCCAGTTTTATACTGCTGGGTGGAAGCCTGTCATCTAGTTGAGCTTACCGTAGGTGACGACTTTATTCTTCAGTATACTAAGCATCCTACATCTGTATTCTATTGTACGGATACCCATATCTAAGGCCTCTAGCTGCCATATTAAATATACTTAAGCATGCATTAAAAGTGTCTGAACTGACACCCAGAAGATATACCATCACTAGTCACTATGGGATAGATATGAAAATAATTACAGGGATGGTGGAGTTCTGTCCTTACGAATAGATACCTTGTATAGAAAACTTCAAACATAAGACTAACGGGTTTTGTAATAACATTTGTATGTTTTCTGCTAACATTTGCATCTTTTAACAGTTTCATTGCTGAAGATATGCTAGTATCCACACATTCTATAACAATCCCAAATTGTGACGGTTTGGTACATATTGTTAGATATCTAAATACTTATTTTTGACTCAGAAACTGTTAGCAGTGTCTGAATATGAACTTAAGAGCCTGTTTTTCAATCTTCAAGTTTCAAAATGAGGTCCTTAATAACAAAATGGTAGGTATCACTTTTAGAATAAAGCAGGAATTTTATTATGCACATGAACCAGAATATACATTTGCCCCCATTTTAATACCTATTATCTAAAAATATATATCCATGTAATGAAGATGAATTTCATTAACAACTGATATTGTAAAACATGCAAGCACGTTTTAGTAATGATGCTATATTACTGTAAAGCATGACTTAAACCTTTATTGTATTCTTTGAAAGTGAAAGGCTGCACTAAAAGTTTTCTGGAATGATGAGTTAGATAATCCGTTTCAGTGATATGAGGCATCCCTTGCACACTGATGAAGGCATGAACCCTCCTGCTTGTTCCTCTTTTTGTTCAGTAACTAGCTCATCACCTCTGTGGCAGGAGGTGTTAAAGGAAGGTGTAGCACAGTCAGTCTTGGAAGTACACAGAGCTAGTACCATACAGCAGTTGAATGTAAATGTGATTTTTTTAGCTGTGCCAAGAATGAAGCCTACTGTAAGTCCTTATATTAGAGTAAGGTTGGACAAAATACAACCTGCAGGCTGAATCCAGCCCACCAGGCAATTTCATCTGGCTTGCAGGCACCCACCAATTAATGTACCTTGCCTAGCTCACTCACTTTGCTCCCACCCTTGTGCATGGGAGGGCCCGGGTCCCCGCCAGCACTCACAGCTTCTGGGTGGGGCCAATGGTGCCACTGCTACAGCCACTGGGAGACCTCCTCAGCTTCCCTGGCTTCCAGTGGCTCTTGCTCTTGTCCCTGCTTCAGCGTTTGCTCCAGGCAGTAGGTAGGGAAGCTGCAGCTGGGCAGCAGTGTGGGGCAGGGGCTGGGGGGAGCGCAGAGCTCAGTTGGGCAGGATGTGGGTGTGAGGGGTGTGAGCGGGTGGTGGGCCCTCCAGGTGTTCATGGCTCACACAGGCGCACCCACCAAGTGGCACACGCAGCCACAGCCAGTTCCAGGAGCTGCACATGGCAGCAAGGAACAGAGCCAAGCCAGCCTGTCTCTATGGCATGGGGCTCCCTGTGGCTCACATGGAGCTCCTGGTACTAGCATGCCACCAGGGGAAAGCCCCCTGTGATGGAGCCAGTGGCCTGGTCCTGGTCCCTGCCACCACATGCAGCTCCTGGGACTCTGGAAGAAGTCAGGGGCGACACGTAGGGGGTGCGTGCAGTTGCACATGCACCCCCTGAGCATGGCAGTGCACCCCCTACAAATTGGGATTGTGAAAGAGACATGTTTGAAACACTTGTATGATTGGTACTTCTTCAGCATGTGTGGATACTAGCATATCTCCAGCAATGAAATTGGGTGGCAGTTGCTGCTCGCCACCCTGTCGCCAACACTGCCAGCAGCATCTGCAGGCAGTCCATGATCACTGCCAGCTGCTGCTAATATTGCTGGTGGCGCCTGTGGGTGGTCACTAACCCCTGGTGGTCAGCGCTTGCCACTCCCCACCCCGCCTGCTACCAACAGTGCCGGCAGCGTCTGTGGGAGCTCCCCGCTCACCACCGCCATGCTTCCGCTGCTGTGCTCCCGCCACCACCAGTGCAACCGTGCCCACCCCAGCCACCGGGGGCACTTGCCGTTCATGCAAGAAGTGGTGGGAAGCCTAGTCCCTGGCTTCCTGGCAGAATCCCAGGATCTGCACGTGGTGGCAGGGAGCAGGGAAGGCAACCAGGTCCGTTGCATGGGGCTTCCACCCAGCGCACAAGTCCCAGGAGCTTCACAAGAGCCCCATGTGATAGAGGCAGGCCAGCCTAGTTCAGCTCCTTGCTGCCATGTGCAGCTCCCAGAACTGGCTGAAGCTGCACGTCGCTGGGTGGCTGCACCTGCACAGGCTATGAGCACCCTGAAGGCCTACCACTAGTTGCTGCTGCTGCTGCTGGTGGCAGGAGCTGTGCACCATGGGAGGAGTATGTGGGGGCGTCCCCTGCCCCCCGCCCCCCACCCTCCCTCACAGCCCACACACCCACACTCTGCCTGCATGCCCCCCACAAACCATCCTGCATATACACACACCTACATCCTCCCGCATACCATACATCCCCCCCATACAGAGCCATACCCCCTCACAAGCCCCATACTCCCCATACCCTACCATACAAATACGCCCACCACCACACCCCCCACACACAATATACAAGAGTATGACTTTATTTTTGAGATCTTATGCAATCACCTCTATATACACTACAGAAATACACATAAATCTGGACAAAAATATTTTAAAAATAAAATTAAAATACATTATAACAGATGTTTGACTTTTAGCATAGGACTTGTGGAGGGAGTTCAGTTCCAAGATGGCAAAAGGAGGACTTCCAGGGGCAAGGGGAGGGATTGCTGGTGGCAAAGGTCAGAGGTTAGGCGGCAGGACTTCCGATTCCAAGATGGTGACCAGGGCCGGGCACCTGTCAAGAGGCAGGGCTACTGTTGCAGCCCTCAACAGCTCAACCAAACTCATTAAGCAGCCCTCCAGCTGAAATAATTGCCCACCCCTGCATTAGAGCAACCAGATATGGAAACTAAAAAATAAAAGATACATTAATGAAGGGTAGTGCAGCACTTTGCTTAGATGAAGCACCTATTTATTATTATTTATAATTAGTGTGATTAGAACAAGAGCACTATTGTCATCCTCATCTATATAAGGCTAATCTTGATGGGGAAGCAAGGATGTTTCTTGGTGAATACCAACCTCTGCAACTTTGCATTGGGTTTTTCTTTCTACACAAATCTCAACACTTTCACATTAATGGATGCCCAGAGAACTACTGCTATAAAATCTCTCTCAGAATTCTTATACTCTATTTGTCCTTCTACTAATAGCTCCTCTCCTGAGGATATTGGTTGCTTTACCCCTCCACAATCTCCATTTCCAGATTTTCTAGCAGAAAAAGGATTTTTACAAGGGGCTTTATTATGGCACTGTGATAACAAAGGATTTGTCAACAGGGCTGTTGTTAGTACCAATGGTAGTTTTATGGAGGCTATAGATGTTCTCTGAGTACTGATCTAAGGATAATGAAAGTACAAGTTGCCAGCACATTATTTTTCGGCTAGCTCTAGAGCAGAAATCAATCTTTAAGCCATGTACAGAACCAATGCTACAATACTGGATTTAAAATGTTGCTTATGTTACAGGTGTGCAAATTTGTTACCAACAACAAGAGGAGTTTCGTTTTCCTGACTCTGTATGCTCAGAGTGCACACCAGTAACTACAGGAACCCAATGTTAATAAATGTTTGTCATTTTTCAAGGTAAGGAGGTCATTTGGGGAAGTTCTTGGATTGGCTGTGTCCCTTTAAGAAACTCACTTAACACCACGCAGTCTTTTACTTCTTCTAAATGATTCACAGTCTCTATGATGCCTTCTGTAGCCTCCAGTGAGAGAACAGTGGAAGCATTGGAGCGAAATTTTTTCTCCAGATCCTCTTTAGTCAGGGGTTTCCTCCAGTGTCCATAAAAGGTATCACAACGCTCACTAAACATGTCACCGTCCTGAAGGGTAATGCTTACCTCACAGTAAAGGCTCTCGAAGCTAGGCTTGTTATCAGAAGGGTGCTCCACCTGTGTTTTGCAGAGCAGCTCCTTTAACTCTGGCCTAAAAATGTTCTGACGGTTGAATGATTGGACTGAGATGCTGCCATCCAGCAGAGCAGTGCATGCAGCAAACTGGAGAGAATGCCGGGCTTCGTGCTCTGAGTTAGGAAATGATCTGTTTACATACTGAGCCTCTGGGACTTTGAGTGTGATTTTCTTAATTTTGCTAACAGGGAGTGGATCACCACTCCCCACAAGGTGCTTCCTCACTGAAGAGGCTGCGTCTGCCACCCAGTGTGTTCCAAGATGAGCAGGGAAGCGCTTGATGGCTACATCTTGTTGGTCCAGCAGCCAGGAATAAGACTGTAAAGGTGGCAGATCCTGCGGCATGTAGTCTCCATAAAAAGCACCCAACCCTGACTCCATGTCCAGTATCTGTTTGTTTCCTTGAAGACCCAGTGATGCTAAGCAAGCTGCTTCCAGACCATGCCTAGCTGCATTACCAATGTGCAGAGGCTTGGTTTGTGTTGCTGCATTAGCCATTGGGGCTCCTGCATAGGAAGCAGCAATGGCCAAAGCTTCTTTACACTTAAACTGGTCAAATGCTAGCAGTTTGGCAACAGCTGCTGCACTCCCCATGGTACCAACCACAGATGGTGGGTGAAACCTGAGAAAACAAATGGTACCTCATCATTACCATGCTTCAAAAATAGTTACAGGAATTCTAGGACAGAACTTCAGCAGTACCTAATCCACCTCTCTCCGATGCCAGTGGGCACATTTACATGAAACATTTACGGCAGAGTTGCCTAATCAGCTCTGCAGTAAAGTCTCAGTTTCTACATGTGTGGCCCTATTGGGCTGTAGTAAACTAATAAATGGCTTTGTAGGACATTACTTGTCATCACAAGTACTATCCTGCAGCGGCATTATTTACTGCACTGCAACACATGGGTAGATGTTGATGGGGCTCGCTGGGGTATGAGGGTGCTTCAGTGAAGGAGCTGCTTGCTTCAATGCAGGGCTAGCCGGCACTCTCATGCCCCAGCCAGCCTCTCCGCAGCATGTTGAGTTGGGTCAGAGCAGCTCTGGCCTGGCAGGTTGACCCCTTGGGTCCCCTGCCAGTTGGGGCTTCTCTGACCTGGCTCAATGTGCTGAGGTTCCGGGCGCACATGTAAATGTGGTGCCCAGGAGCAATACACTCCAGAAAAAACTGTGCTGGAGTTTATTCAGTTAATTAACACACGTAGATGTGCCCAGTGGGAGCTGGACCAGACCATAAATCAGTGCATGTATAATAGTTCAGGGTCTAGTTCCGTAGCCCTGATACTGGAAAAGTCCCATGTTAGCCAAAACACTATATTATATACAATTAGGTCCCTGAAGAAAATAATAGGAAAAACTGCTAACTCTCTTAGTAACCAGTGTTGCAAGCACCATGGTAGCAGAAAAGCCCCAGAGCTGTTGTAGCGAGTATAATGGGCACATCCTGGGGAAAGGGGATAATATGTTCCTGTACCCCAGGGGTGGGCAAAGTCTAGCCCACAGGCCAGATCCGGCCAGCAGTGGACTCCATTTCCCAGAAGCCCCTGCCAGAGAGGCTGGGGCTGGTTTCCACGGAGACCCCAGCAGCAGCTGCACTGTGATAGCATGGGCTGGAGTTTCCCTGAAGACTGGCCCCAGCCACCGCAGGCAGGGAAATGGAGTCCACCTGCTGGCTGGATCCATCATTTTGCCCACCTCTGCTCTACCCACATCTTTAGGACACAGTGTGTTTACTGTGGCTGCATGGTGAGTCTCAGAGAGGTGAATCCTCATTTCTGAGAACAGGCAATGGTCCTCAGTTTGCATATTCACACCTAATCAGATGTATTCTCACATCCCACTGAAAGCATCAGAGATTTTTTTCTCTAGCATTATTTTCCTTTTCACTATTTTGAATTGATGGAGAAGCTAAAGGAGCTTCTCAGATGTCTCACTGATCCAGATCAGTCACTACCTCCATCTAAACAGTGGTGCTATTTGTTAAGCATCAAAAAAGGCAATCACAAAGGAGTATTTTCTTTTTTTTTTAAATGCTGATTTCAATTTTTACTTTTCAAACTTCTGGACAAAGCAGCCTAGTAAATATAATTATCTCTGCTCCTTTCATTGCTTTGAATACAAAAGTGGAACAGCATATATTGATTATTTGTCTCTAGCTATGAAAGACACTAAAAGGCAGCTCTATAGAGATTACTGAGAGAGTAACTGGAGAGTGGAGATTAAAAATCAGTATTGCTTTCATCTCTGCTATTTCAGTAAATTAATGACAACAACCACAACAAAAGCCTCTACTCAACCTAAATGCTGCACTCCAAATATTATTTACATACCTTTTGGGAATGTTGTGGGCTTCACTGGAAAATCGTAAAAGTCTGCCTTGCACTTCAATCCCTACATTGAAGGCTAAGAGCAGGTCAAGGCCAGAGAATTTTTTCTTTTCAGACAAGGTATCTGACAGAGCAACTAGAGAAGGAAGCACAGTCCCAGAGGGGTGTGTGGCTGGGTGCCATGTATCATCAAAATCCATTGAGTGTACCTGGTGGGAAAAAGAGAAGGCCTGATTTTTAACTGGCTTATTTTTTACCTTGACAAGATCACCCAATCCCAAGTGAAAAGAATTTAATTAGTATAAAAAAACTGTTGAAGAACTGCTCCTCTTATAATTAAGGTCACAATCACAGGCCCACATCAGGACCAAGTGTCTGAGGAGCTAGTCATAGTACAAATAGAAGTGGGTACACTTCCTGCCTTTAAGAGTTTATATATCAGTCAAGACAACATTGTATAATAACAGAAGCTGAAAGTTATGTTTTATACCAGGGGTGCTCAACCCCCAGCCTGCAGGCCGTATCCAGCCCTGCATTATCCAGCCCACAGGGCTTCCCATAGGTCCGTGAGAAACCATGTAGGGTGGTGTGGAGCCTGATCCCTGTGTGTGGGCAGGCTGGGTAGAAGTGGTGCTGGGCCCCACACTCCTTTTAGCACTGGACATCTGACAGAGGCAATACAGGGCCCTGGAGCCCTGGGAAGCTTGTGAGGGTAGCATGGGGCCCAACCCAGGCATGCAGAGTCTGATCTGGCTTATGGAGCAACTCTGCACCATTCATCTGGTCTCCAGGGCCAAAAATCACTGTCTTATAAAATTGATAAAGTGACATTTTGTGACTATTCAGTAAGAACTTGGAGTTGGCCTATGATGCAGATTCAGAATGAAATGGTCCTGGGTATGATTTAGACATTCTGGTTGCATTGACAGTGAGACCTGACTGCCACTTAGACTGTTAAGAGCCTAATGATGCCATTTTCAAGGTCATTTTCCTTTGAAATAAGGTGTCAGATTTGACCTACCTAGTGTTGTTGTAAAACTAAATTTGATCCGTCTTAATACACCATGTCCTCAGAGGGACAACTCCATTAGCTTTTCATAATTACAAGATACGTGTAATTCAAATCTGGCATAAGGGGGTTAAATGCCATCAATGTCAGTTGCCCTCAGACTGTATCTGAATTTGGGCTAATTTTTGACAAGCCAGTTATCATTTTATTGAGAAACCTGAGCATATCCAAAATGTACTGTCTGCCTTTTCCAAATGTATGACTAAAAACTATGTGCATGCATGCGTGTTTTATAGTTTTGCCTACTTTGGGTGAAATCTGGCTCTGTCAAAGTCAATCAGCATTAGACTGTCTTCATTACATGTCTGTACAGTTAACACAATGGGGCCCAATACCTTGACTGTATCCCTTAAGTATGACAGCAGTACAAAATTAATAATAAAAGGCACCCCTCGATGATGGTCTCTTAAGACAGAAACTTAAGTGTACTATGTCACCCTTAAAAGGGTGGGTCCCGCTTGGGATTGCTGAAATAAGGCTGAATGATGTTGCTAGGACAGTCTAGAGGAGTTTTGTACTGACAGTAAAATCTGGTCTTAGTCACATCGCAAAGATAAAAGTTAGTTTAAAATTTAGGGAAAATAAATGATAAATATTACTATGCATATGAAAGCAGATGTAGAATAATAGTGAATTGCCCATCAAGAATGATGGGGGGGGCAGCACAGGCACAGATGGAGTGCCATCCAGCCACACGTCAGACACACCCCTCATCCCCCCCGGGCTCTGTGTCCAGCCACCACCCCACTCCGTGTCCGGCACTGTGCCACCCACCATCCCCACCCCCACTGTGCATCCACTGGGCCTGCTCCACCTAGCCCGATCTGTTGGAGCCGAACCCTGCTCGTCATTCTTGATGCAGCACTGGCTGGAGGCCTGCCCTGCCCTGCCCTGCCCTGCCCTGCCCCGCCGGGAGGCATACCCCCCAACAGCATTACAGACAGACACACAGACAGATGGACTAAGCCCTTTATATATATAGAATAGTTCCTTACAGCTACTCCATTGGTGAAAGCCGCATACAGAGGAGGGAGTCTGACATCTGAGTGACCCCAAACAGTGCTGGATATATTGGCACTGTAGATCTGGAATAATATGAGATTATTTAATTCAAAGTCCTGAACTGAAACATCAGACAATTCATTGTGGCTCAGCCCTACTGTTCTCAGTTTCTACTTTTTAAAGCCTGCACACAGGGCTGGTGCAGCAGGGCACTGCTTACAGTACCCTGGATTGGG